CCACAGCAGTTCCAAATCAATCGAGCAGGGGCACCTATCAGTGTGAGCTGCAGCTCCTTCCATCTAACCACAGCCTGTGAGGACTGTCTGTCCTACTGCACTGATTCTAAGTGAAGCAAAGGGATTTTCAATAAATAGTTGCTCATCTTGAAAGCACAAAGCTACAAAATAACTCAAATGAAGGGCAGGACCAGACAGACCTCTATTTATTTCTTCTGGCCTCAGTTTTGTTGTGATCTTCCTGTTATGCACACGAAAGAAAAAATGTCAGTGAGTTATTAGGGAAATGGGAAGCACTGCCACTCACATACTTCCCCAGATCTGCCTTCTACAGAGGGCGATGTCTATCAGAATCATGAAGGCACAAACCCTTCTGACCCATCAAGCTCACCTGGAGGAGCTTATCCTACAAATATATTCGTGTGGACCCAGTGTTGTTCGCCATAGCAAAAGGCTGAGAACAATCTCTAATTACTGGACATCCACCAGGTACATCATATAATGTCACACATACACACTCACATGGCATGCACACACCCAATCCACCAGTAAGCTCTTTATTATAAGAAATAATGAGATGGTCTCCAAGAGATTGTGATATAGGAAAAGCTAAGTAAAGAACAGTAAGCTGGTACTTCACCATTTATATCTTTAAAAGAAAGGAGTGAAGATACGTACAGCTAATTTGCTTACACGTGCATAAAATATTTCTGAAAGGATGCACAATAAACTGGCACTGATCTGGCTCCAGGAAAAGAAAGTAGGGGGCAGGTTGAAAGGACACTGCATACTCTTCCTTTCGTGTCTTTGGATTTCTGAAACAAGCGAAGGCATTGATCAAAACCACTTTGTTTTTTTAAAGATGTTTGAAGATCTGCTCTTTTAACAAAGAGTGAAGATAGATAAAAAATCTTTTTTCTCCTACAACTTTACTTGGCAAAGGAAATGCTGGCAAACTCAAGTGTGGCCCCTACTTCTGGCCTCTGAAATCCAGGCCTGAGCATCTCTGTGCATAAGCAAACCCAGCACGAGAGCTCTCGCTCTCCCTCTGCTCCTTCCGACCCAAGCTGGAAGGAACTGACCAGCTGCAGCCACAAGCCTTTCCTTAAGAAAGAAATGAACCTTTGGTAAGTTACTTGGTTTTACTTTCTTAGAAATCTATGCTTATTAACGGAGTGAGGTTACTTAAGCACCAGTTTGTTGAATATGTGCGCTGAATAATGCTATTTTAAGACTCCAACACCAGGAACACAACTGGTGATCCTAACTATCTGTGATGAGTGCATGGTGGGCTGGATGGCGGACACATGAATGGATGAACTTGAACCATTATTACTCAATGCTCAGACAGCTTGGTGCCTAAGCATGCTGATGTGATTATCATATTGTACATATTGTACAGGATATTCTCCAACTACACAAAAATAACACCTCCGGAATGCTTCTTCTGGTTAGGGACATTTTAGTTCCTCACTAAAATTCTATATCAACATTTGAACTTCACTGTTTGCTTTTATCACAGTTAATCAATAATGGACTATAGCTAAACCCCAGTTCTGTATCAGGCACAAACAAAGATAAACCAAACTCTCTGTTCTCATAAAACCTTCATCTGAGTCCTAGATACACAGGCCAGAGGCACAGACACAAGCCCCAAGTGTATATAGCTCCAGGCAAACTCCACTGCTAATAGTCACCAACCACCCTCATAAAATGTGCTGGAGCACATGCTGCTGGCGCGCGTGCAGACAGCCAAACTCGGCATTCGTGGGCACTGGGACGCGTGAGCCAGAGATGAGTTGATGGGAGATGAGTTGAGAATTATGACATTACATTACAGGGTAGCAGGACGATACTAAACTCTCACAGAGCCACCCATGACATGGCTCGACACATACAGGCATGTTATAAGACAGCTGCATTTCTTAAAAATGCAGTTTTCTCAAAAGCAGAAACTCCATTAAACACAGTCAGAGGGAAAATCCAGCTTCCGCCAAAATAAGGAAAGTTTCTTAGATAACACTTGGCTTTCCTTGCATTTGAGTAGGTGGCATTCATGCTGGAGAAACATCTCAATGCAAAGTTATTACTAACAATAACCAACCATCCCACACAGGTTTGTACTGTACATATTTGCCTGACTAAATAAACACTACTGTCAGATTTCAGAGAGATGCTTCATCACATTCTTGTAGCAAATTTACTTCCACTCAATTTTAAAATGCATATGAAAACTACCAAGTATCAAGCTATTTGAGGGACTATAAACTTTTTAAAAGGAATTTTCATAAAATTAAGGTATTAAACAGTTAATTCTTATGCTTATAGCTTTGAATTTGCTTGGATATTTTGAGGGGCATACAAAAAAGTACCTAGCATGGCCCAGTCTAATTCTGTGCAATTTAAAACTGTTCCTTTAAGTGGTTTCTCAAATAAACCCATTATGGCATCACTACAGAAATGATCCATTCAGTTAAGTCAGAGAAACAGGACCTGCTAGATTAAAAAATTTATTAAAAATATGAAAAAATTAAAGCAGGCTGGTATTAAATATATCGACCACCTCATTACACTGAGAACTGGAGAAATAAATGAGATAACTCAAACCTGAAAGCATGATGGATAGAAAGCAAATAGTCTCTCTTTTCTTAACAAATAAGCTCACCAAAATTGGAGAAGAAAGTCTTTCAAAGCCCAAGAAAGGAAACTGGTGACAGACTGCCCAAATACATCTTAGACACCTCTCAGAGAGCTGGCATGTTTAAATCGCCATCTACAACCACCAACGACTGTACCCTCCTTCCACTTCTCAAGAAGACAAAACACAGGAGCTGTATCTTCACAGACTCTCCTGCTAACACTTGCTGAATATGCATCTACAAGCTGGCTGAGCCTGACCCACAACGGGATCTCTTCTCACAGGGAGATCACAGTAAGACCTGGTTATTTCCTACTGTTTTCTACCTTCCTGGATGAAGCCTATATAATTGGAATCCAGGACACTTCAATTCTTCAAGCATTTACTAGGTTGCAAAACTGTACATAGATAAATGAGAGTTGATCTTGCACATAGGAGAAAACACCACGTTAAAAATATATGAGAGGGGCAGCAGTGTACTTCGGTCCTTCTGCCTGCTCTGCTCCCCACTCTGGCTCTGGTGAATTCTCTCACCCTCCCGCGCTGACTGTACCCAGTGCATGTGTAAACAGAACAAACAAACGCGAGAGGGGCCTCCCCGGTGGCGCAGTGGTTGAGCGCTGGGTTGCGAAGCTGCCCGCAGCCTCTGCAGCGCCAGTTCGATCCCCGGCTGCTCCCCAGCCACCTGAGGAGGGTCCCACATGGCACGCAGACCTCTCCTGCCGCCCGCTGCTCCCCTCAGCAGTGTACTTTGGTCCTTCTGCCTGTTCTGCTCCCCGCTCTGGCTCTGGTGAATTCTCTCACCCTCCCGTGCTTCTGACTGTACCCAGTGCTTGTAAAAATTAAAAAAAATTAAAAAAAAAAAATGTATGAGAGGCCAGACTCAAACTACCACTGGTAGAAGTAATAGGAAGCACATGGCGATGGCTGTCTGGAAGGTGCCACGCACTGTGCTGAAAGCTTTACGTGTCTGCATTTCACCCCACCATTCTCCGAAGTAGGCACTGTTATGAACACTTTCACAAATGAGGAAACTGAGGCATTAGAGGGTTAAGTGACCTGCTTAAGGTCACACTCAGGGTGGCAGACTGGAGGGCAGGCCTGGACACAGGTGGTATGCATCCAGAGCCTGGCTCTTCCTCAGTTCACAAAGCTGTTATGTGGCAAAGCCTTCCTTCCTCCCTTAGAGAAGGTATCATCAGAGTAGCCACTGGCTTTAGAGAGAAGTTCCTTTCCAGGGATTATACCCAGTGCCATGAGGGTCAAGAGCAGCTAAATTAGAGGGAAAACAAAACTTATATTCCTTTCCCTGGATTTCACTGGAAGAATAAGAGAAATTTAGAAATCAGCTTTAAAACATTTAAAACTAAGTACCTGGCCTAGAGTCAGGACAGTAAAATACTAGGCAATGATAAAATGTAGTCATCATGCAAAGAATTTAATGAGAAACCTGTCTCCTCGTTTCTGACTCAGTATGAGGTACTTTTACACACTTTTTACACACTGTTGGTAAGACTGTAAATTTTGATACAACTGACATCCTAAGTACACATACCTTCTGACCCCCAAAATAACTGCTGGGAATTTCTACTAGAGATACACTACAAACATTTTGGCAAGTTGCAACATACATCATAATAGCATTTTAAAAGCCCACCGGGGTGGAGACAGGTTAAACAGGTTAAGCATCTGGGACCCTCAAGAGAGCCTGTGCATGGTGGCATGCGACACCCTATACAGATTACTGAGCACAGACCAGTAAGCAAGGATCTCATTTATACATGCAGAATTTTTGTGTATAAATATACCTATATATGCATTAAATTTTTCTACATGAATTCCTGAAAAATGTTTTGTTTCTTTTGCAGAGTAGGCTGGGAGAAAGGAGAAGAAAGAAAACAATTACTTTTCACTTTATATCCTTTCGAAGTGCTTAAATTTTTTTTTTTAATAGACGCATGTTTTTGTTTTATTTATTTGTTTGTTTGTTTGTTTGTTTGTTTTGTTTATACATGCACTGGGTACAGTCAGAACACGGGAGGGTGAGAGAATTCACCAGAGCCAGAGCAGGGAGCAGAGCAGGCAGAAGGACCGAAGTACACTGCTGAGGGGAGCAGCGGGCGGCAGGAGAGGTCTGCGCGCCATGTGGGACCCTCCTCCAGTGGCCGGGGAGCAGCCCGGGATCGAACAGGTGCCGCAAAGGCCGCGGGCAGCTTCACAACCCAGCGCTCAACCGCTGCGCCACTGGGGAGGCCCGCTTAAATTTTTTTTTACCACGCTGGTAGAGTACCTGAATACATCTAAAAAAAATTTTTTTTTACATTTTTTTAAACTGTCACCAAACATCCCACTATTTTTGTACCTTGTTTCCTTCGTATACCCATCCCAGACTCTTCACACCAAAAGCAGCCTGGTTGGCTGAGACATCTAGGCACGTGACAAGCTGGCCATAGACATAATGGAGCGTCCTGGCAGAGTCATCAGCTTTAAGCAGGTACACCAGGTCTCCAGCAGTGGCCACTGCCACAGGGTACCTCCCGGTATCTGGAACTATTTCAAGGTAGTCAACCTGTTAAAGAGTTAAGCATTAAAGAACGGTTTAGTCCTTAAGATCTCACCTATAATTCATACAAATTTGGTCAAAAATAAATCTTCCTACACATGAATGAGAATACGAGTAACCCAACAGGAAAAACATGGGAAAAGGGAGAGCTGACAAGAAATTAAACATATACAGTTCTTACACAAATGAAGATATACTCATCATAAAAGAAACAATACACTTCTAATAAAAAAATACAAAGTAAACATTCACCAAAATATCTATCACATCAATAAAAACTAATTAGTCTGATAAGGTCCTGGGGTAATGGAGGGGATAACCATATTTATGACCCCCATTTATTTATGGTTGGTGGGATATAATGTGGTCTAACTTCCAGGGAGGGTAAGCTGGCAACACCACAATGTTAAATGCAAATAATCGTTGACCTAATAAATCACTTTAGGAATTTACTTACAAGTAACTCACATTTATGAAAATGATCATTTACAAAGTTATTTGCTGCAGCACTATTTTGCCATTGCTAAAAACTGGAAAAAACAAAATATGCGTAATTAATAACTATTAGTTCATCTATTCCTTGCACAACCACACAGTCAAAGGTAAAATTGTGCAGATGTCTCTGCAAACATACAAATGGCATCATCTCCAAGGGGAATCTGGAGGAGGAAGCAGGGAAGCCAGGTGAGCCACAGGACTCAGCAGAGCGGTGGGGCACAGGAGCTCCGATGCGCCTGGCCTAAGTCTCCTAGCAAGGGCGCTTCACGGAGGGAAACAAGCTGTTCGATGGAGCGGATGGGAGGTCTGTCACTGTAAACCTTTCTGTGTCTTTTAAATTCAGAACCATCAGGATGTGAGAACTACTCAACAATGAAAGATTTTAGTAGTTTTGTTTTTCTCACAAGACATAAAAAATAAAATTCATTCTGTTCCAAACTGGCAAAAAAATCACATTTTAACAATTGTGCAAATACCAAAAACATGTTGACATGGGTGAGCAGTACCTGAGCTACCTGCTCACTCCTGGCCTCAGTGTCCAAGGTAGGAAGGCCACCGCAAACAGGCATCTTTGTGCCACTGCAGTACTCCTGGCTGCGTTATTGCTACCACCTTCTTTGGTATACACAGGAACGAGTTGCTCCCTTCAAGAATCATTTGCTTTCCTATGTCCATGAGTGACACAGGTCCCCTGAGTGCAATTTACATCAGCTTTTCACCTCAAAAAAATTCTGAATGTCCAAAAGCAGGTGAGCCATGCTGTGCAATTATGAAAATCCACAGTGAAAAAGACAGCATTGCCCTGACAGCAAGCCAAATGAGTTCAAAAACCCAAATCCTGAGGACAGTCCAGAAGCTTGAGAGAGTAAACATCCAGGAGACTCACTAATCCTCGGGTCCAATGGTGGCAGCCCCACACCCCAAGCCATGGGCCATCACAAAGGATGGATGTTCTGGGGTAGCACCACAAGCCCGGGAACACGGCCATAGCAATTCAGGGAGCATATCTGGGGAAGACAAAAATGGCCCAGCTCTAAAAGCCAGGGGGTCCCTTTTCCAGAGATAGCACATTCTGTGGCAACACCTCATCCAGGGTGAGAAATAACACGTAAAGCCTGTCATGACACATGCCTCCAGCAATGGCTGTTTGCTTCCTCTCTCCTATTCTAAAAATCATTTCTGATTTTCCAAAAGTCAACATCCTCAGTGTAGCCATTTAATTTCATCTTAATGTTGGATTTCTGACAGACCAAGAGGCTCAGATTGACAGTGGTTGTGCCATTTGCTGGGAGCTGTAACTACTTTAAAAAGCTTCCAGTCTTGCCAGGATACCACCTTAATGCCAAGACAGGATTTATGCTTTAGAAAGGGACTCACATCTCAAGTAATTGAGTTTTCATAATTATTGCTCCTCTGTAGTATTCTTTAGTCAGAGACCAAACAGCACACACTGTGGTAGCTTTGAGAACAAACAGAAATATGCTATTTTTGCATTTTTCTGATAAAACTCTAAGATGAGATGACATCAGGTGTTTTGGGGGGGGAACACTACATCCACTCTGCAGGCACTGTTCATTAAAGAGACAAGAAGCTTACAGAGGTAAAGCAGTAACCCCACGGCTTCTTAGTTATTCAAGTCTAACAAGATTTTTACTAGATGAAGAGAGAGAGGAACAGAATTTGCTCCAGTCAGGCCATCAGTTCAATGCAGGCATCTCTGTTCAATTTCCCACTAGTGCCAAAGTCAAGACTGTTTAAATTAAATCCAAATTCAGCATAGACAGATTTGAGCTCTTTCTTTACCACCAAATGATCTCCCACCATACAAATGTAGAGACTCACATTCAACTGAACTCAGAAACAAGCTCTATGTAAAGAACTCTTATGGTTGGCTCGGCCTCACACTTGACACCCCAGACATGGCTATCCAATTGACACTGACTTAAATCTATTTTCACTCAAGAGTCACTATGAATTCCAGGTGAGAAAACTTGGGAAGGAGAAAGTGTAGGATGGAAACCTTCCTTCCCACATGGACTGAGATGATACCACTGGACTCATGCTCACTTATATAGTAAGCCAGAAACTGAGCTCAGATGTGCAGGAGTGAATGTCCTGTTACTATGATGGAGAATGAAGAGCACAGTGATGAAACACTCGAGCCCTGAAATCAGGTCTAAGATCTGAATCACAGCTGCTTGGCTGTGAGAATAGGGCAAGTCAAGTCATAGCTCTAAGCTTCTTTGACTTCTTGGTAATGGGGAAAATACCATATCTACTGTACAAGGCTGTCTGGAGAGTTATGATTGTAAGGTTCACAAGAACTGAATGACATTATTACTATTTGTTTATATAGACCCAGAGATCCTAAGAAAGAAAAATAAAATGACCAGACTAAAAGCTCACCAGTTTATGAACTTCAAATTCTGCAGTTATTTGCCAAATACCCTCCTCATTGGGGCTTAACATTATGACATCAAAAGCAGAAGCCGTGGCAACAGTTGCATCTTCCCGGCTGAGAGCTAGTGCCTGTATTCTTGCATCATGCTCAAAACGATGAATAGGATACTTTCCAGTCCTGAGATCCCAAATATTAAGAAATCCTATGTAGGAAAAAAAAAAAAATGTGGGTAACAACTTAAAATTCACTTAATATGCACAATTACAGAATAACAACCATGTAACATATTCTTTAACATACAAAGGGTTTCTAAGATTCAACATGGAAAAAAAGAATTGAAAAGTGAGCAAAGGACAACACGCTAGTCACAGAACAAGAAATACAACTGACATATAAATATAAAAAAATTGTAAAACTCCACTCACAATTAGAAAAATACAAAAATGTGTTTTTCATCAATCAAACTGAACAACATGAAAAAAATTCATAAAACATTTTCTTCTTGAGGAAATAGGCTCTCTCTGAAAAACTATCGGGAATGTAAACTATTCACCCACTTTGGAGGCAATTTGATTATATTTACCAAATTGCAAATGTATAAGATAATCACTGTAATGTGTTAATTATGTCAAAAGATTGCAAGCTATCTAAATGCCCATCAACAGAGAACTACTTAAATAATGGCAACTCCATAGTTAGAAATTTAAATAAAACAAGTGCTTAAGAGAGTTCATCTTACATAGAAGTTATATGAAATGAACAATAAAATATATTGTTAAATTAAAAATACAAAGGCCAGAGTAGTGATATAGGGTATTACATTTCTTCTGAGTTTTAAAAAACTTAAATACACAGACACAAATAGATATATGGGATGTCCTGGCAGGATACACAAGAAACCATTTACAATCACTGCCTCTAGGGAAAGAATGAAGGGGATAAGGACAAGAGTAGGAGGAAATTTTACTGTATATTCCCCCCATCCTTACATATTCTGAAATTTACCAAAAATGACAAATTTTTAAAAAATGTTTTATGCGAGTGAACCAGGAAGAATGGATTACATATAGTAATTGCTAAATAGTTTTAACATATGGAGTTCTTATTCATTCTTCTATTTGTCCATTCGTTCATGCAACAAATAATTACTGAGTACCTAATACATGCCAGGCACTGTTCTAGATACTGGGATGTCTAAAAACAATCTCTGCACAATCCAGTGGTTGTTGCAAGTATTTTACATCCTTCCTCATCACCAGCCTCTTCTAGTGACTGTTACAAGTAGCTCTTTGTTATAAATCCTAAACTATGAGCTTGACTGTCCCACACTATTCACCCCTCTCCCCAGTCCTTTGAATGCTGTCACCAGGTGAATTTCTCTTACACATACCAATCATGTCTCCACCTTTCTCAAGTAGTCTATAGCAGTGATGTCCAAATGTGTTCCCAAATGAGCAGCATCAGCGTCACCTGAGGGCTTGCTAGAAATGCAAATTCTTGGGCAACAGAATCTCTGGGGGGGTATACGCTCAAGTTTGAAAATCAGTAGTGGGCCTCCCCGGTGGTGCAGCGGGTTGAGGGTTGAGTGCAGCTCTGTGAAGCTGTCCACAGCCTCTGCAGCATGGGTTTGAGTCCCGGCTGGCCAGGACATGGCGCAGCAGACCTTTCCTGTCTCGGGGCTGCTCCCCTCAGCAGTGTTTTTGGCCTGTCTGCCTGTTCTGCTCCCCACTCTGTCTCTGGTGAATTCTCTCACCCTCCCGTACATCTGGCCTTGCCCCAGTTCATAAAGGAAAGGAAGGCAGGAAAGAAGGAAATCAGTAGTATACAGGAATTTAAGCTTGTCTGAAAGAAATAGAAACTTTTCTGTATTTGGAATGCCATGTATTCGTCTTTTTCTCATCAAATAGTTTCCTTTTATCATTCCTGACCATTAAGCCACTTCTTTCCCCTCAAAGATCTGCCCAAGAAAACAACTACTTCCTGCACCTACAGGATAATGTTTTGCACCAATGTGGGTGTGCGAATCCTAAGTGGCCTGTTCAGCCACCATTTTTGTTACTGACAGTTCTGCATTCCTGTACGAGGTCAGAAATGCCTGGTCAATCAGTTATAGGAGTCCAACCTACAAGGTGCCTTTCAAGTCAATCAAGAGCAGAAAACATGATCACCCTGGGAAGGGTGTGCATCATGAGCTATGACTGGGAAACCCCGAGAGGGGGTGGGGGGGCATTGACTGATTTCTGACAAGGGACCCCCAGAAGCTGATCAGTGGAATGAAACCTTGAAACATGTGGCTGGGGGCCTAGGGCTTGATTTCAATCACAATGCTGAGTCATCAAGCAGTTGAGAAGTACCTGGGGGGCAGAATCATGACCCCTGAAACTACAGATTACAGAGCACATTTTCTAGTTTCACTCCTTCTTTTCCTCTTTGTCCTCCTTACCCTCACAACTGATGCTGTATGATTATTTTAAGAATAAAGAGGCCAGGATCTGTCTTCAGCGGCATCCTGCATTGTACAGCTTGCTCCATGACTCCATTTGTCAGTGTGTTTTTGTCAACTCAATATACCAACTCCAACTGATATTTTTTTTTTCCAAATTCGCTCAAATAACTTGTGGAGAGAACATAGCCTCTGGCTACTTGAATTCAAATTCAGCCTCACTGCTTGGCTAGCTGATGGTCTTGGATAACATATTGAATAGCTGTGAGCCTGTTTCCTCATGTGTAAAACTGAAGCTAACATGATCTAACACAGAGGACTTCTGGGCAGATTAAAGGAAAGAAACTAAATAAAATGCTGGAAAGAAAACCAATCACTTTCACTTTTTGTTTTTATGTTTTCTATAGTGACTGCCATGTTTTTATAAAGCATGTTTAACTGATTGGTAACACAAATGTCCTCTATCACTCATCCATAAATGTGTTCTTATTTCTATAACTTCATATTACCTAAAACAGATAAAACTTTTCATTTTTCTTTGCTATGCAATCCATTTTTTGGCCTGTGCTTTCTCTTCAAACAGTAAGTGCTGTGAATTTAAGCTTTTACTATCAGATATAATTCAACACTATATAAATACAGTCAGAAGAAAGTAATACATTGCAAGTCAGCTATGCAAGACTTTCAGTAGGTTAAGTGAGTGATTATAAATAAAAGTAGATAATAAACATTCAAGTTAACTGTTGCTTCAGATGTAAAACACAGTGTACTTTTCTAGGAATTACGATAAACTTAGGAGATAAGCAGATAGCAGAGACTGCACAACACATTCCCTGGCAAATATTTTGGCAAATTCTTTCCACTCTGACACAGTAGAGACAGACATGCTGCAGAAAATGCCAATGGCTATACACGTGGAACAGGAGATAGGCACCAAGAGGTGCCTTTTCTGAATGCTTGTGCACTGCATTTGTTTGCAGACATGACAATAATCAACAAAGAGAAATAAAAACTGCTATTTACATGAAGCTCTCAAGTGCAGACCCTTTCATAGCTTCCCCTCCCCCCCCCACAAGTGCTCACTTCCATCTTGGGAGGAGCATCATTATGTGCTCATTTTACAGAGAGGAAACAGAGTTCCCCTAAACAACTGGTCCAAAGTCACCTGATGGGTAGTGAGGTTGAGCTGAAATTTAACTGGGAAGTGTAGGGTGAGTGGCTGCAGTTACAAGAGCATGAAACAACTATGAGCTCCAAGAGTAATGGATCTACACCATCAAATACTCACCCTGCACTCTGCCAAATGTGGAAGTTATTCAACCACTACTAAACTCTTAGCACACATGGAGTTTATCTATAAACACATTTTTCATTTTTAATCAATATTGATTTTGTTGGCATCATTTATTCCAACAGAACTGTATGCAGTAAAAGCCCTTCATCACAAGGTTGTGTTCACAGAGCTATCCTAAAAGGGGTCTTTTTGGAGAATATTTTCTAGAATTCCATCAATTTAACAATCATGTCCCTCTCTTCTGAATGCCCATTGTGTCATCTTTGTCAATATTCTCTACTTCAACTGTTAAGTGTATGATTTGGACAGGTCCTCACTTGCCAATGGTGCCAGGAACATTTGCACAGTCCTTCAAGATCACTCTTAGGTGCATGGACATTTAGGATTGTTATGTTCTCTTAAAGATGAAGTGGTCCTTTATTGTATGTCCCTCTTTATCCCTAGCTATATTCTTTGCTCTGAAATCTACTATGATATTAATATGGTCATTCCAGCTTTCTCTTGATTAGTGTTAGTATGGTATATATTTTTCCATCCTTTTGCCGTGCCTTGTGCTTTTACATTTAACTGAGTTACTTGCATAGCATCTAGTTGGTCTTGCTGTTACTTGGAGCATGTAGATTATATTTGATGTGATTATTAGCAAGGATGTGTTTAATTTGTTTTCTATTTGCCCTATTATTTCTTGGCTCCCTTTCCCTTTCTTCTACCTTTTTAAAAAATTATTGGAATAAGTATGCATTTATTCCATTTTAATTCCTTTTTATTTTTTATTTTTTGGCTTGTTAGCTAAAACTCTTTGCTGTGTTAATTTTCTAGTTGCCTTAGGCTTTTAACATTCATACGTACTACAGTCTACCCATAGGTGACAACATACCACTTCACATACATTGTAAAAACTATACAGCAGCAAACTTCCATTCATTCCCTAAACCCCACCCCCAGTCTTTGTGCTATTGGTGTCATACTTCTTATCTCTACTTACGTTATAAACTCCCCATACATTGATATTTTTGAATAAGCAGGCATTATCTTTTTTTTTTTTTAAATAGAGGCATGTTTTTATTTATTTATTTATTTATTTGTTTGTTTTGTTTATACAAGCACTGGGTACAGTCAGAAGCACGGAGGGTGAGAGAATTCACCAGAGCCAGAGCGAGGAGCAGAGCAGGCAGAAGGACCGAAGTACACTGCTGAGGGGAGCAGCGGGCGGCAGGAGAGGTCTGCGCGCCATGTAGGACCCTCCTCCAGTGGCCAGGGAGTAGCCGGGGATCGAACCGGGGCCGCAGAGGCTGCGGGCAGCTTTGCAACCCAGCACTCAACCGCTGCGCCACCAGGGAGGCCCGCAGGCATTATCTTTTAAAGAAACTTTAGTAAGAAAAAATTTTTTTTATTTTTACCATTTATATATTTACCACTTCCAGAACTGTTCCAGTATCTCTTAACATTATTAAAACCTGCAGCC